TCTGTACTGAGTATGTACGGATCGCTTCCCGTTCTTCCTTAAGTAGTACAATATGACAACTCTTTATACTGCATTTCTATGGTAGTCAGCAGTCTAGGTGATCAAGGTGAGTTAGAGTACAGGGGGATTCTGTAGGCCCTACACGTCTGCGCCGTCATTCTACACGGGGACTTAGCGATCTGCAGACTTTGGTGTCCAGGTGGTCCCAGAACCACACGCCTACATACCAAAGGATACCTCTACCTGAGAGGTCACACAAACGAGCAGGGACAAGTCCGTGTGAAGCAGATTCGTCAGAAATTCACAGGGCAGAAACCACGATTGAAAAAATACCACATAGCAGACTCTACAGGAGTGGAAATACATGTTTCTCCGTGACTCCAAAGTCACTCCGTGACTGCTTATCAGGGAATTGACTCAAAGACTGGAAAGCACACTCCTTTGGAAACTGCTAATACTAAAGGACGTTTTGTAAAAACTAAAAGAAGATATCTGCTAGAAATAAGTACACTCTAACTACAGAATGTCAAATCGTCATTCTAGTCAGCCAGGTCTGCCGCACTAAACTGGTAAACAATTCCCTAGGAACACAGGGCTTGGGGTTTCGTTTTACTGTTTTAATAACCATCGCAGAAGCCATGCGTTCACTTTTAACCAGGCTTGGAAAAGTGTTGCATTCTTAGTTTGTAACAGGGTAAGATGACCCGTTTTAACTAAGTTCCCCGTCATGTTGCTGTCTTAAATGCACTGTCACTGAAGTAGTATTTGAAGTTTATGAACTATGCTTTTTCTTATATTCTTCCTTGGATTTTAAAATGTATTTGGTCATTATTACAGGATTATATTCTCTGTAAAGAAGCCAGTTTTTTTTTTTTTCAACTATAGCAAAGAAGATACAAACATGTCTATAAAATAGAAAATTCTGAATAGGGAACTTTAAATTAGCCGGAAGTCTCCAAGTGTGAGAAATAGCATTGGCACTCACAGTACTCTGAACAGCTAAGAACTATACTTAGGACATTCTCATTTCTGTTTTGGGTCACTTATTTTTATGTAGATACGCACATGTGTATGGAGCTGGGTAGCGCAGTGTCTGCTAGTGTTGAGTGTTCTCTGCTCTGACGGTACTAGGAAGTGAGAACGCAAGAGTCGCAGCAGACATCGTCCGTTGCCACTGCCCTTCCCACCTTGCTTTGCAAGCAGTCTGAGTTTCCGTTTCTCCGTGAAAGATGGGGGATAACTCCTGTTAAGTTTTAATTGGTAGGGATAATCCTGTCTTGTAGCCTTGGACCCAAGTTTAAAGAGTTAGGATATCAAAGATCATGTCTTGAAAGGGTCTCTCAAAGAAGCAGAACCTTGGTGAACATCGTCTTGTCTGGATGTGGTGCCTGCTCCCAACAATGGACACAGTTTAATGGCGATTACAGAAGAAGGACCCAGAATGACCTCTCGGGGGTCACGGAGCCAGCATGCCCTGTAGGCACTCCTTGTCTGGACGGTGTGTTTTCCTAAGAGACTGCTTGTTTCTAAGCCAGTTGACTTGGGAACATTGTGTTAGGAACAACAAGACAGGCTACTTGGTGTAGCGCTACACTCTGGAGGAGTTATGCAATTCAGAAGTGGACTTCAGGCAAACCATTTATTTTGATGCGTTAATAGAGAGGTTTATTGTCTGTAAATTTGTAAATCTGAGCATTGAAAATGAACTTGAAACAAATGTGTATGCTTCCTGGAGCTGCGCTGTAAACTTACTTTCCTGTGTGTCTGCGTGTTTGCATATGTGTGAGGCCGGAGGACAGCTTCCAGCATGGTCCTCTGGGTGCTGTCTCCCATGTTTGCTGAGTCAGTGTCTCACTGGCCTGGAGCTCAGCCGCTAGGCTGGCCCCAGCGCGTCTTGGGAGCCACCCATCTGTAGCACCCCATCTTGGGGCTCATAAGGGCCCAGCTTTTGCACGTGGGTTTGGGGAATCAAACTCCGGTCCTCCTGATGGTGGGGCAAGCACTTGCCAACTGAGCCCTTGCTTTGTTTGAGATACAAGTGTTGCCGTGTAGCCCTAATAGGCGCTGAACTCATGGTGACCCTCCTGCCTTAATGTCACAAGTGTGGGAGTACTGATTGAGCCACCGTGCCCAGCCTGACCCGTGAAATGGAGTTTTGGAAGCTGACAACAGCACGTCTTCTTTCACTTTCTAATGCGCTAAGTTGTGGGTGGGTAGTTTAGCCTCACACGCATGACTGTCACATTATTTGGCATGTGTGATGTGAGGGAAAGATCTAATTTTGTTCACTTTCAGGTAATTATCCTGATGGCCCATATCTTCTGAATAATTTATCTACTATACAAAACATCACATTGTTCATGTATGAGATGTTGCCAGCACTCCATGACCTTGTATGATTGTGAGTATGCCACATAACAAAAATTAAGTCTGATTGGGCCCACATATGTAAGCCCAGTACTTAGGGAGGCAGAGCTCTCTGAGTTCAAGGCCAGCCTGGTTTACAAAGTGAGTGTAGGACAGCCAAGGCTACACAGAGAAACCCTGCCTCAACGAAACAGAACAACAAAAAAACCCACCACCACACCCACAGCACACATTTAGGAAGTAAAGACATGATGCTACCTCCAGGGCCACATGTGTGTGAGCCCCCAAATTTTCCCTTCATTTTTATCATCTTTCCAGTTATGACCCACCTCTAGCCAGGAGGTCACATGACTGCCCCCCCCCCCCCCAGTTATAGCAAGCTTTATTAAATGCCTCTATTTAAAGAAACCTATGAGGACATTTCTTCTGCCACACAGATAACTAAAAAACATTGTGCTGAGGGGCTATCTCAGTGGCTAGGCACCTGCCCTGCAGTCAGAGCTGAGTTCAGGTCCTCAGCAACCATAAAAATGCAAGGAGCGTGGGTGGCCCACCTGTAATTCCAGCCTCAGAAGGCAGAAGCGAGATCCACAGAGCAGGCTGCCTGGCCAGAATAGTTTTAGCTCCAGCTCCATTGAGAGACCCTGCCTCAGTGACTACTGTGAAAGACTGACTGCAGATGATTCCAGGCATCAATTTCTGGCTTACACATGCACAAAGACCCATAAATTTTTTTGGGAAAAAAAAAAAACCCAAAAATTCATTTATTGGATTTTTTTTATCTATATGTGTGTGCATGTGTGCTACATGGGTGTAGAAGCCCATGGAACTGGAGTTACACATGTTTGAGCCACCGAGTGGATGCAGGGAACGGAACCTGAGTCCTCTGCAGGAGCAAGTGCTCTGTTAACAGCTGAGCCATCTCTCCAGCTCCCTCCGTTGAGTTTAAAGATTATGATGCTTTTTAAAACGATGGGCTAGCACAGGCTCCTGGCTCGTTGCTACTACCTGAAGCTGGAGGTGGTATAGAAGTGAGAACTGTGGACACGGGACTAGAGACCGGTCAGGGATTACAGAGCAGACGAAGCCTTTGAGGAGTGTGGTGACAGTCAGGCACTAACGGACACCCAAACTGGATTCTTACACAAGGCCTTTCCTCTCTGTATGGCCTTTTAGAGAAACATAGTTAAGGTGCTGGGGAGATGGCTCCGTTGATGTAATACTAGCCAAGCAAGCATGAAATCTTGAGTTTGATCCTGTATTTCCTGAGGAGCCTGGGGCTGACTAGCCTGCCAGCAAATTGATGAGCTCTAGTGAGAGAGAGTGACTGAGGAAGATAACGCCAACCTCAAGCCTGGGAACACATGTACATGCATGCAAAGTTTGTTCATGTACATGCATATAATTTATGTCAGGGCGTATGCCTGTGTACCATGTATGCAGGTTTAAGAGGTCAGAGCCCTGAAACTTAGGTATAGGTGACTGAGCCACAGGTTGCTGGGAACGGAAGCTGGTTCCTCAAGAAGAGTCATCAGTGCTCTCAACTGCAGAGCAATCTATCCAGCAACAAACCAAACCCGACACGTGTTCTGATCGTAACAGGTGAAATGGTGAAAAGTGTCTGGAATGGGGAAAGTAGCTGGGAATACGATGAAGCACTTAGCACAGTCCTCTGCTCTTATTTGCTGGTATGGGTGCTCTGACTGGATGTCTGTGTGCCTCGCACAGTCCCCGTGCCTTCAGAGGCCAAGAGAGGATGTCACACCCCCTGGGTCTGGAGTTGCAGACAGTTGTGAGCTGCCATGTGCTCAGGTCCTCTGAAAGGGCAGCCGGGGCTCTTAACTGCTGCAGCCTCCTGTTTCAGAGACTGCAACCCAGTGCATTTCCCCTTCTGCTCCGGAGCTTAGAACTTGAGCTTTTCCTACCACTGTCTCAAGCATTAGGAAAGAGGCATGCGCCACCATGACACAATGAGGTGGAAAAAAGCAAGTTGCTGAACAGTATCGAAAGCATGTTCTTAACATGAACCATTTCCGTATAGACACGGGCATGTGCCCAGGAGCCCAGGTGCTGGATGGGGTGAGTCCTGGCAGGGAGATGAAGGTGAATGTGTCGCTTTCATGCTGTTAGGAGGCTTTATAATTCATACCTAACTTATGCTCTGGAGAAAAATAATGAACAGGGAAGGTAAAATTTGATATCACTAAAAACCTGAAACTATTAAGTAAGCAGAGGAGATATTGAGAAGGCAGAGTCTAAAGAGATCAAGTGAAAAACTACAGAAAGGCTGAGTAGGGTTGAAGGGATGAAGTTGGAGGTAGGGAGAGGGGGGCTCTCCAGGCACAGTGCTCCTCCAAATGTCACCTTCAGTTGGTGACATTTCAGAGGTCACTGGGCCTCACCCTCCCTGGTAATGAAGAGTTTTTTGTTGTTTGTGTTTCCCCAATCAGCATATTCTCCAGCTGCGTAGCCCATGGTAAACTTTATCCGGGAACTAACTGCTTGGCCTTTCTCAGCAGAGGAAGATCTGAGTGGCCATCTATCTTTGTCTTACAAAGCATCTGCCTCTTTAAAGTCTGGGTTTTGTTTGTTTGGTTTGGCTTTTTTTTTTTTTTTTTTTTGAGCTAGGGTTTCTAGGCAGCCCAGGCTGGCCTCAAACTCGTGGAGCTGGCAATGATCATGAACTCCTGATCCTCCTGGTCAGCCTTGCAAATGCTGGGATGACATGTGTGCACCACCACGCCTTGCTTACGGAGCTTAAACTGAGAACACTGTACCAAGCCGCATCCCCGCCCGCCTGTTTGCCGTTTTAAGGGAGACACTCATTCCCTTTATCCCGGTGCCACAAACCATGTCTGCCTATCTTCTCAAACGCATCGGGGGAAGATCAGATCATGGAGACAAGTACGAAAAGCCAGCGTAAGGGGAGTCGTTTGGGAACTCGGGGGTGGTCATGCCTTTGTGGATTTGGAGTAGGTGAGCCATGTATCATTGGGCTGGAGAAAAGGCCAAGGCATGGGTCTGCACTGGGAGAAAGAGACAAGGCTCTCTTTTAAAACCTGGACGGCTAGCCAAAATAATCCCCAACACGGTCATAACCTGAATCGTCCCGAATCCGTGGCAGTGTGAGGAATCCCTGCAGGCGGATGTGGGCACAGGTCAAGTGAGTGACGTGTCATGCCAGAAACAATCCTGGTTTCGCAGAAGGGGGAAAATGTCCGAAGGGCGATGCGCCTTGCCGAGTGAGCATCCCTGGTGGGCAGCAATGATGAAAGCAGAGTCCAGTCCCAAAGCTCGTTTCTCCATCTTTATTAAAGCTAGGTCCTCCTGCCCACGGCAGAGGGGGCTGGGCGGAAACGGCTGCGGACTAGGAGGGATGGGGACAGCACCCTCTCAGCCCACCCTGCCCTGGCTTGTTCTGAAGCTCATGTCCCAGAAGACAACGAAAGAGACAAAGAGATGGGGCAGAGAGGCTACTGCTGAGCAATCCGGACCCCGGTCTTGCTCCCACTCCACCTCACCTGGCCAGGCTAAGCCCTGCCCATCACCACCCAGGCTCTCCTCCCACCCATGGTCTGCCCACCCAGCACCTTGCAGCCTGCCCGGTAGCTCTTGGGCCCCAAGGGCGTGACTATACTACAAGAAAGGATCTAGGACTAAAAGGGATTGCGGGCGGAAAGCTCACGTCTCTCGCTTTGGCCCGTGATTCCTGGAGTGTGGGCGGAGCTTGTGTGAGCCGCACCTCAGACGCTGTCGGTCCAGGCTGGAGTTGGTTATCCTCCATGAGAGGGCCTTGCATAGTAAGGCGCTGTGGGCTCGGGTCCACAGAACTCCGTATGTGGAAAGCACTGAGCGAGCCTCCAGCCCCTCTGAGAGCCACGGACCCGCCGCTGGCAGAAACACCTGCCTCTGGTGTAGGTGGTTACAGAAGCAGAAGGCTTGCAGAGGATGTAGGGCCGTTACTAGAGGCGAGGGGAAGGCTCCCGGACCCCACCCCAGAGCTGTGAAAGGCTGGCGGAGCACCGGGCTCCGCAGGCACCTGCTCCGGGGCAGGGCTCTGCTGGGAAACTCAAGTCTGGGGACCACGTCTGCAGCAGCCTGCCCCGCGCACCCCAAAGGTGTCCGTGTGTGCCACTAGAGACCCAACTAGCTTAGAGGGGATGCCGACTCCGAAACCCACCTTGTGGCCAGTGCTCGACAGACCTGTTGTTTAGAGGGTTGGAGAAAGGATTTCCAAAGCATAAGGCTTCCAACCCCTGGGGCCTGGCTACCCGTATGGTGTCTTGCCTTTTCAAGCCTCCCCACACTCTTCAGGCCATGGAAGAGATGGAAATAAACACCCACAGCCGACAGAACAAAAGCTTTCCCTGCTCGAATCTCCATCCCCCCACAACCTATTGAGGCTGCTGCCTACCACGAACTAGGTTCTGAAAACTCACTGGACACGCTCAAGTGACCGGAAGACGGTTCCCGAATCTCCCAGAAGAACGGGAAGAGGCCACGCCCGCCAAGAAGCTCAGGTTCGCCATAGCTGGGCGGGCTCCACACCCGAATCCGCGAGGAGCTAACTGGCCTCGCCCGCCATCCCTGCAGCGCGGAGCCAGGGATGGGTCGGTCTCGATCAATGGCCCGCGGGCGCCCAAGCGAGAGCTGCAGCTCGGGGCGAGGGACCCGGGACACCCGACCCTCGGAATCCCCAGCCGCCGCGGAGCAGGGGCGCCGCGCGCTCCCCGGGCCTCACAGGACGCCGCCCTCGAAGGCGCCCGAGGGCCCGGCGGAGGCGGCGGGCTCGGAGCCGAAGCTGGTCCCGCCCGCGAACTCCAGCAGCGTCCCGGAGCCCGCGCCCG